CCCAACCCCCCCACCACCTTCCTTGCAGGTCTCTGATGCTTCATCTTCTCTGACAGTGTTCTTCCTCCTCACCTTCCTTCCCTCCCCTTCCTTCATTCCTCCTCCATCCATTTTCTTCCTTCCTTCCTTCCTCCATTTCCTCCCTTTTCTTCCTTACCTTCATTCCTTCCTCTATCCCCTCCCTCCATTTTTTCCTTCCCTTCCTCCTCATCCTTCAATCATTCCTTCCTTCTTTCCCCCTTCCCTCCCCTTCCTTCAGTCCTTCTATCCTTTCTCCCTTCCTCCCACCCTTCATTCCTTCCTCCTCATCCCCTCCCTTCATTCTTTCCTCCCTCCCTCTCCTCCTTTAATTTCCTTCCTTCCTTCCCTCCCCCTCCTTTATTCCTTCCTTCCTCCATCCAGTGCCTCCCTCCCTTTTCTTCCTTCCTTCTTCCTTCCTTCTTCCATCCATTCCCTCCCCCCATTTTTCTTCCTTTCTCCATCTCCTCCCTGCCTCCCTTCCTTCATCCATTTCCTCCCTCCTTTTTCTTCCTTCCTTCCCTCCCCTTCCTTCATTCCTTCCTCCATCCATTTTCTTTCTTCCTCCATTCCCTCCCTCCCATTAATTCCTTACCTTCATTCCTTCCTCTGTCCCTTCCCTTCATTTTTTCATTCCCTTCCTCCGTGTCCTTTAATCATTCCTTACTTAATTCCCCCCCCCCCCCTTCAATCCTTCCCTCCTTTCTCCCTTCCTCCCTCCCTTCATTAATTCCTTCCTTCCTCCATCCGTTCCCTTCATTCTTTCCTCCCTGCCCTCCTTTATTTCCCTTTCCTTCCTCCCTTTCCTTCCTTCCTCCCTCCAGCCCCTCCTTTTTCCCTCTTTCTTTCTTTCTTTCTTTCTTTCTTTCTTTCTTTCTTTCTTTCTTTCTTCCTCTGCTTCCTTCCTTTCCATCCTTCCTTCCTTCCTTCCCTCCTTTACCTTTGTTACTCCATCCATCCATCCATCCATCCATTTTCTTTCTTCTCTTTTTCTTTTTCTTTTTCTTTCTTCTTTCGGTTTCTTTCTTTCTTTCTTTCCTTCCTTCCTTCCTTCCTTCTTTCTTTCCTTCCTTCCTTCCTTCCTTCCTTCCTTCCTTCCTTCCTCCCTTCCTTCCTTCCTCCTCCATTCCCTCCCTCCCTTTTCTTCCTTCCTCCCTTCTTTCCCTCCCTTCCTAAGCTCTTCCCTTCCCTCCTTTTCCTTAATTTCTCTATCGCTCTCTCTCTCTCCTCTCTCTCCTCATCTCCCTCTCTCTCTCCCTCTCCCCTTCCTTTCCTTCCTCCATCCCCTCCTTTCATTTCCCCTTCCTTCATTTTTCCTTTCTCCTTCCATTCCTTCCCTCCCTTTTCTTCCTTTTCTTCCTCCTTCCTTCCTTCATTCCCTCCCTTCTTTCCTTCCTTCCTTCATCTATTCCCTCCCTTTCTTCCTTCCTTCCTCTATTCCTTCCCTCCCTTTCCCTCCTTCCATCCTCCCTCCTCCCTCCCCTTCCTCCATCCATTCTCTCCCCTCCCTTTTCTTCCTTCCTCCTCCCCTCCATCCCCTCCTTCATTATTTCCTTCCTTCCCTCCCTCCCTCTTTCCCCTTCCTTCATTTCGCTCTCCCTCCCTCCTCTTCTTTCCTTCCTTCATCTATTTCATCCCTCCTTTTTCTTCCTTCCTTCCTCCTCTCTCCCCTCCTTCCTTCCCTCCCTCCCCTCCCTTCATTCCATCCTCCATCCATTTTCTTCCTTCCTTCTTTCCTCCATTCTCTCCCTCCCTTTTCTTCCTTACCTTCATTCCTTCCTCTATCCCCTCCCTTAATTTTTTCCTTTCCCTTCCTCTTTCAATCATTCCTTCCTTCTTTCTCCCTTCCATCCCCTTCCTTCAATCTTTCCTTCCTTTCTCCCTTCCTCCCTCCCTTCATTCCTTCCTCCATCCCCTCCCTTCATTCTTTCCTCCCTCCCCTCCTTTAATTCCCTTCCTCCCTCCCCTCCTTCCTTCCCTCCCTTTCTTTCATTCTTTCCTCCCTCCAGCTATTCCCCCCCTTTTCTTCCTTCCTTCCTTCCCTCCTTTCTTCATTCCTTCCTTCCCTCCTTTTACCTTCATTCTTCGTCCATCCATTTTTTTCCTTCCTTCATTCCTTCCTTCCAACATCCATTCCCTCCTTCCCTTTTCTTCCTTCCCTTCCTTTCTTCCCTCCCCCTCCTTCCTTTCTCCATCCATTCCTTCCCTCCTTTTTCCTTCCTTCCTTCCTTCCTTCCTTCCTTCCTTCCTTCCTTCCTTCATCTATTCCCTCCCTTTTCTTCCTTCCTTCCCTTTCTTCCTCCATCCATTCCCTCCCTCCCTAACTTCCTCCCTTCCCTCCTTTTCCTTCATTCCTTCCTCCATCCATTTTCTTTCCTTCCTTCCTCCATCCATTCCCTCCCTTTTCTTCTTTCCCTTCCTTCCTCCTCCATCCCTTCCCTTCATTCTTTCCTCCCACCCCTCCTTCCTTTCCTCCCCTTTCTTCCTCCATCCATTCCCTCCCTCCCTTTTTCTTTCTTCCTTCCATTCATTCCCTTCCTTCCGATATAAGGGGGTACAGGTTCTGTTTATTCATCCCAATCTAATGACAGCCCAACATATACTAGTGCTCCCTGTTCACTCCCTGGGTGCATGGCTTTAAGTATCAGATGGGTGAGAGCCTCCATGTATTAAAGAATTGCCATTCCTGTGGGTTTGAGAACTAATATCACTATGTTAAAGTGTTAATGGCTGATGTGAATGTGAATATCTTTTTATTGCCCCAGCTGTGTTCTCCCCACTAGGGTGTATGTGATTCAAGTGATATATCACCATTAACTCGTAGTCTGTCCACCCTCCACATGGACTATCATGATCTGTCTGTGAACAGCGGTTGGACAACTGAATGAACTGAGAACTAACTATTGTTCACTTGACTGTCTTTGAATTAAGGTGCTTCATGCTGTATTCCCTTTTTGGGATCATTTATATCAAATCCTTGGCCATTTTTTACATCATCGCACTAATGGACAACCATGGTCTGTTCTCAAGGCAATCTGACCATCATTAAGCGGACTTATTACCTAGTAGAACCAGCATTGGCCCATTAGGTAATTCAACCCCATCATCTTGACACCGGTGTTGCTATTTCCTATACTTCAATGACTGGGTTGCCCTCTGTTCAGGTTTGGGAAGACCGAGCACTACCATCATGTATCCTCAATTGAGATGAATAAAGCCCGTTTACTGGCTTTACGGTTGGAGTTGGTGTTTGTATTCCTGAACTGTGGGTAACTGTTGGTCTAATACTCTGATTGGGTTGGTTGGTATGTTTTATGTGAATGAGTGTATGTTAGCCCGGGCTCTTGGTTTTTTCTTTAAGATGATAACGTTGTCAATCTTTCTTTTAAGTGCTGTTGGAGAAATTGGAATTTTTAAGCGATTTGTAACAAAGTTTATATTTTTTTAATTCATATTAAGCCACAGTTTGATTCCTTTGTGAGGCTGCTTTATGTGGGTGCCGCCCCTCTGGTGACACTTACAAATATTTTGTTGATTGTATGTGTCCCAGAAGAACACGGGGAGGAACTTCCGCTTCCAAACACCTAGGCGTTTGCAGCGGAAGTGGGTATATGTCAAAATCAGATACCTGCTCCCCAAAGGTGCCAATCCTTAATGGAGAGCAGGGGACAGGGCCTTAGGTTCAAACTCTCTTGAAATAAAAGATTTGGTTTATGATTTATTTTTACACATGAATCAAAACATAACTATCGCTCCTTAGATATGTAATTAGCACACCCAGAGGTGTCTCATATAAACATCTGCCTAATTGTGGAGTCTTGACTAAAAGTTTTTTTTTTTAACCACTTGCCCTCCAAAGGATTTACCTCCCTTCCTGACCAGGCCATTTTTTGCAATACGGCTCGGCATTACTTTAACTGACACTTTCTCGGTCATGCAACGCTGCACCCAAATTAAATTTATGTCCTTTTTTTCCCCACAAATAGAGCTTTCTTTCGGTGGTATTTGGTCATGTGATGGGAGTTACTTTGGGTGGGGGGCCCATGGAACCCAGCTAACTTTGGAGAGGTGGGGAGACCCCTGTCTCAGCTCCACATATCCCTCTTATGTGTAAATCACCCTGTGCCTGTTAGGGGTACAGGGTGATCTGTCCTAATATTGTGTGGGCTTTGTCTCAGAATGTGTAGACATGTTTAGGAGATAGGTGGGGTGGGGGTTGTTGATTGTTTAATGGTATGCATATTAGCTTAGTGGGGAGGGGGGTGTCTCCAGCAGCCCTCTCTCCTGATGGGACTGTCTGCTGGTGTGAAGTTTGAATACCTGTGTGTCTCTTGTTACTAAATGTAGATTGCCCCACCCTGTGTCATTATGCAGGGAGGGGGGATTGTCCCCTGAGTGTATATATCTTGTATCTGTGTTCAAATAAAGTAGTCTACCTCCTGGTTTACTTCAAGACTGGTGTCGTCTAGTCTTGTATGGTTGGCTGTGGTGTCTGTTGTCGGTGTTCGGACGGGGAAGCGGTAGTCTAACAGGAAGTATTCAAGCACAGTCTCAGTCGGTTCCATTAGATTGGTGGCAAGCGGTGGGATTGTGCTTCCTGGCTGTGAACACGTCCAAACCACCATCGGGAGTCAAGATCAGGAAAGTAAACATCGGTCACCCCAGTGGAGATATGGACCTGGCATCAGAGTTCCTGGGGCTGCTGCGGATCATTCTTGCAACATACCCCAGGACTGTGTCTGCTGATGAGTACCTGGAGCTCAAGCAGAGGATTCGGGTGGCGCTTTGGAGTGGAGCCCTCCAGGTCGCTGGTATGTACAAGGGCAACTGCTATCCAACCCCAGGGGAACGGGCCAGGGACCAACGGGAGTTACGGATGCCATTCCTGGAAGAGCGACCCCAGGAGCAATGGATTACTGAGTTGGACAGGCTGGTCCAGCAGGAGATAGAGCAGGACAACCGATATCGGGCTCTGCAATGGCACGCAGAGCAGAAATATTTAGGGATGACAACAGAATTCTCTCCAGAGGGATATGACTTTGGGGGCCCTGGATTGCTGTGGGGAGCCTTACAGATCATTTTGTGTTTGGAGATGAAGGAGAACCTAACCTTGAGGACCTGCAAGAAGACGGAAAGGCTATGTTCAGTCTCACAGGGGTCTCAGAGTTTGAACCAGATCTGGAATACCTGCTGATGAAAGAACAGCATCTGGAAAGGGCATACAGGCAACTGCAAAACATGTTCAGAAGCGTGCCCAAGAATCGGCAGTGGAAATTCCAGAGACTGCCGTCTCCAAACCTGAAGTGCTGACAAAAGGGCAGAGCTCTGCTAGCCTCTGCCCAGCACTGGTAATATCTTCTGGGTTCCACAGACAGGAGATGGTGAACCCCTATCCCCAGACACCAGTTCCAGGGACTAAGGATTTGATTTACTTTTCTGCTGAGGAGGAACCAGCCAGTGCACCTCCAGCAGAAGAGCTGGCATCAAGGCATGGCGTTGTTGACCTCTGCCCATAACAGTCAGCACCGCAGGAGCTACAGGAAGAGGATGCAATCAGCACCTCACAACTGCAGCTTGAGCAGATGTCCGTGGATGGGACTTCGGTGTACACTGACACAACCCCAGAAAAAGGTCTGGCATTGGGACAGGAGGATGTCAGCCTTACTTTGCGAACACTGGGGGATGTCCATCAAGTCAAAGTGGATGAGACTACAGTCACCACCTGGATACCCCAGGGATGCTGGGCAGTCGGCCCAAATCCCCAACAGCATGATGGAGTGACCTAGCCACCCTGTCTTCTCTCCTGCGGCTGAGAGGACTTCAGGAAGAAGGACCAGTCCGTACTTCCCTACGAGAGGGTATGTTCTACGAGAGAGGCAGAGGTTGGCTGGGTGAGTAATGCTTTGTGTGGGACAATTTGCTTGGGGTACTGTGTGGATGCTGGCATTGGGGAAATGGAAGTACAGACTACCTTCGGAGTCAACCTGTCTGGGGTCTCCTCCTGTGTTAGTTCCCTGCCAAAAGGGGAGATATGTGACGGGAGTCACTTTGGGTGGGGGGCCCATGGAACCCAGCTCACTTTGGAAAGGTGGGGAGGTTATGGGTACAGGGTGATCTGTTCTAATAATGTGTAGGCTTTGTTTCAGATTGTGTAGACATGTTTAGGAGATAGGTGGGGTGGGGGTTGTTGATTGTTCAATGTTATGCATATTAGCTTAGTGGGGGTTGGTGTCTCCAGCTGCCCTCATCCTGATGGGACTGTCTGCTGGTGTGAAGTTTGAATACCCATGTGTCTCTTGTTACTAAATGTAGATTGCCCCGCCTGTGTCATTATGCAGGGAGGGGGGATTGTCCCCTGAGTGTATATATCTTGTATCTGTGTTCAAATAAAGTAGTAGTCCTGGTTTACTTTAAGACTGGTGTCGTCTAGTCTTGCATGGTTGGCTGTGGTGTCTGTTGTCGGTGTTCAGACAGGGAAGCAGTAGTCTAACGAAAGTACTCAAGCGCAGTCTGGGTCAGTTCTGTTACAGATCACTTCTGCGTTTTTTTATTTTTTTGCTCTATAAACAAAAAAAGACCAACAATTTTGAAAAAAAAAAAAAATTTTTGACTTTTTGCTATAAAACATATCCAGTTAAAAAAAATTAAAAAATCCAATTTCATCATAAATTTAGGCCAAAATGTATTCTGCTACATGTCTTTGCTAAAAAAAAATCTCAATACACGATTGGTGACTTATAGCCAGACTGCGGCGGGCATTCTAACACTGGGTAGGAACTGACTTAACTGCCACTGACATCCCCAGTGACACCAATACAGTGATCAGTGCTAATAAAAAACACTGACACTGTACTAATGCCACTGGGCAGGAAGGGGTTAACATCTGGGGTGATCAAAGGGTGAACTGTATGCTGTTTTACTATGTGTGCTGTGTGTGTTTTACAAGGGAAACATGCTGCTGTGTATTTCTCTGCTGTGCACAGAAATACACAGCTGCATGTTATTGCTGGCAGGAGAGAGACCTGTGTTGTTTACACACAGGTCTCTCCCGTCGCCGGGTGTCGGCGGAGAATCTCTGGCCGGGACCCAGTGATTGACATCTGTAGCCACCAACGGCGCCCCCTACCCGGAAATGCAAATCTCATATATATATATTATATATGTACATGTGACTTTGCACAGCCCTGCCGCCCTGTAGCAGTATTTCTGTTATAGGATGAAGGTCAACTGGTTAAATAACAAACACGTCATACTTAACTGCTCTGTGCAACAGTTTTGCACAGAGCAGTCCCGATTCTCTTCTCAGGTCCCCTGCTGATGCTCCTGGCTCATCCCCCTTGACCAGTGCTAATAGAAAGCCACTTGCTATGGGGGCACTGGTGCGTGCTCGCTCCTAAGCCCTGCTCTATATGTCCATAAAACACATGGAGCTATGGCTTGGCCTCGTCCTTTTTATTAGCTTACTGTGAATTGCCAGCCAAGTGTGTCTCGCCAATGAGGAGCAAGTGACCCTGGACATCAAAGCTTCCCGTGCACATAGCAGGATCCATTGGGGGCTCAGGTATTAGTAGGGAGCAGATCACAAAATGTCTTCTATTTTCATTCATAGAAGGCAATAAACCTTCAGGTTTACACCCACATAACAGTATAAACAGCAGTATACACTCCCTCCAGCAGTACACAGAGCAGCATCCATGAGCTGTCCATGTGTGTGTCACCATTCACTGACACCCTACAGCTCAGCGCCGCTCTCTGCACGTCCGACTACCTGTGACTGACAGCGCCGCACACTTCACTTCCGGCCTGTCTCAGTACAGTGGCACGAGCGCCTCCCAGCCAATAGCGTTCAACCATGGAGCCTCCTGCGGGAGGGTGTGCCGGTCCGGGAGGGGGGGCGTGTCTCGTCGCTGGGCTCGTTCTGTATAAAAACTGATCGCTGCGGTCATCGCTTCTCCTTTTCCCAATCGCAAAGCAGAGGGTAAGCGGTGCAGGTAAGAGCAGGTGCAGTAATACGCGGTGCCCTCTTCTAGCCCATCGTATGCCATTTTGTATGCCATGTACTGGATCTGTCAGTTTCCTCGAGATTTCTATTGTTGCTCCGAGGAGGATGATGGCAGCTTCTGATGGTGTGCAGTCTGTACACGATCACAACACCCTTGTTTATTGATTCATTCTGTAACTGCATATTCAGTGGGGAAGGGTCCTGCTAGGCTTCTGCCATGTTGCTGTATGATCAGGGATGAATCCAGGCCTGCTCATGCAGAATAAACATGGTTGCTTGGTAATAGTTTGGTGTCCTGGTAAGAGATGGATGACCCCCTATTACTAGGATGCCCACCTGTTACTAGGATGCCCACCTTCCATCTACTTGGTAACGGTGTACATCCATATGATGGAAGATGAGCCTAGCTGCGCCGGCACAGCATGCCTTCAACAGATGCGAAGGTCTCAGCTGCTGGTGGACAGAAATAGACGTCTCCATGCACAGGGTGGGATTCTGATTCCTTACTGCGTCTTTCTTACCTTTAACCCCTTGCTGTTTTTACAAGCAGAATTGTGCAACAGAAACCATCCCATTCATTTCTTCTCCACTGAAATCAATGAGGGGCGTGAGCTGCCCTTTTCTGCTTCAAATGAAACCCTAGAATGGCTTCTGCTTCCTCAGATGTAATAGAGGTTACAAGCCTCTTAGATGAGTGTCAGTAAAGGAACTGAGTCATCCTCTGAAAATGGATGTGGTCTCGGTGGATTTGCACGCTGCCTCATTGCCTTCCCTTGGGTGCGTGTGTTGCTGAGTCTTTACTGGAAGATGCTAGAAAATCTGGGATTTAAAGGGTTAACTTTGCTAACACTCAGTTTAGTTGATATTGGGTGTCTGCACTAGGTAGGTGGGTGTGGTATGTGGAACAGTCTACTAGCGGCTGCCATGTTTTATAGCCTGGAATGCAGGTTTGCCCTGTAGGATGGGGATTTTTTTTTTTTTTAAGGATGCTGCTGTGGGTTTAAGGGTTTGTTCCCACCATGTATGATGAGCTGCATAGATCAACACAAAGGCCACCTAGAAAACCAACTGATCACACCAGGATGGTGCGCTGCAATAAAATACAGGTCTTCATTTCAAGGGTTTATCCCCACCATGTATGATCTGCATAGATCAACACAAAGGCCACCTAGAAAACCATTGTCTGCAATCTGATCACACCATGATGGTGCGCCGCAATAAAATACAGGTCTTAATTTTACGGGTTTATCCCCACCATGTATGATCTACATAGATCAACACATAGGGCACCTAGAAAACCATTGTCTGCAACCTGATCACACCATGATGGTGCGCTGAAAAAAAAAAAAATGCGTCTTTGTTTTAAGGGCTTGTTCACACAGCAGCCATTCTGAATGCAGAGCCTTTGGTGTGCAATGGGAGAAATGGTGCCGATCCCAAGGTGTTGCATGGTTTACCATTTTTCTTTTTTGGTAGAACTCTATGGGAATGGACCTTTCGTTACATTCTACTGGCCACAGCAATGTGAAGGACCTGAAGGCTTTTTGCATGTGACTGTATACCTGTTGTGAATGCGTCCTTACACCACACAACCTGGTGTACAGAATCGACTCCAAGTGTAATTTTTATTGATCCATCATTAAATGATCCATTGCATTGGACAAGGCACACCAGCATTCATGCGTTCTAGCATGCAACCTGGTGTAAATGAGCCATTAAGGATCAATACATATCAGCGATACAAGACATTTTGACAGTAGCGGTGTCAATGTTTATTTCTTATAACTTGTTGCAGGCAGCCAAATGAATGGCATCGGTTACGCTTTGGCCTGCTTAAAGATTAGTGGCTGGGGAGTACAGTAGATGTCTTGGCAGCCATCAGTAATCACGTAATACGCCTGCATAAGTCAGCTGCCGAGTCTGACATTCTACTGTATATCACCAAATTAAAATCTGATTCCTAACAAGGATTTGAAGCTGGCTCTAAACTGTATCTGGCATAAAACTACCCTTTATAAGAATGACTTGGTTGCTAGGGGAGGTATATGATGACATCAGAGGTTGCTAGGGGAGGCATGTTTTGACATGGCTTGGTTGCTGGGGAGGCATACGCTGACATCAGAGGTTGCTAGGGGAGGCATGATGAAAGGCACGCTTGTAAGGAAAAGGCAGAAGCCAATCAGAATTCAGCTTTTTAATCTGGTCTTAAATTGAAATCTAAATTTAATTACTTCACTTTGTTCTCGGAGTCTGGTCCTGTAGCTCCTTATGGGGATTAAGTTGCTGCAGGTGACTTTTTTCCATTTGTTCGAAGGCCTCATATTTCACATGTGAAACTGCACGTCCACACAGCAGACATTTTTCCTTTAAATGAGCAATGCTGCTGCTTGATTCATTGGGCTTTCCACATCTCCGTTGCCAGGGCCTGTCTGTGCAAGAAAGGAAGTGATTTTATGAGTAACACGCCCCCCCCCCCCCCCCCCTGTCCCCCCTACGGAAATGAGGACAGGCTCTCAGGACTTGCTCTATAGCTGAGTGTTCTGGTGCAAATATTTCTTTTCAAGGGAAATCACCTGACTGAGCACATCTTGGTAATGAATGGGTTAAAGGCAGCCATGTTATCACCATTCTGGATTAGGATGGATGTGAGCTGCAGATCTCCAGGCAGCGTTAGATGTGGGTCATTGCTGAGCAGACTGGGATCTGACTGCAGAGAATTGTTCTCAATCTGTCCTTTCCCTCTAACCTTTGTACTGTCTGTGGGAATAACAACCTGTGACATTGTACATTGCTTTCTGGTGTGGTGGAAGGTGTGGGTGTGTTATGCAGAGCATAGGGGAGAACAGTGACAGCAGACTGACACATTGCCCATTTACACCATTGGGGTTTTCATGCACATATTGCAAAACTAACGCGTGTCCAGCTTTCCCATAGTTAAAAAAAAAAAAAAAAAAAAAAAAAAAAAAGTAATCTCAGTTGTGCAGTGCATTTTGAAAAATATTTTCCTGCATTTATTGCAGAAGTCGCTGGCGGTGCATCGTATGCCTTTTGATGTGTTAACAGGAATGAATAATCATTTCAATAGAGATTAACCCTTTCAGCATCAGATTCAAAAGCCTTTTAATGCACAAAGGAAGCGGCTATGAATAAAAACCCACTGCCCAAGGCTGCTTTCACACTGATCTGCTGTTCTACTGGTTTTGTGTGGAAGAAAAATGTGACCATGTATTCCTATGAAACATTGATCTGTTGCAGGTCCAGTGCATTTTTTAAAAAACCTGCTTGCTGTGTTTTTGGTGTAGTTAAAAAAAAAAAAAAAAAAAAAAAAAAAAAAAATGCACCTCCCCATTGAAATCAATGGGAAACATGGTAAAAACGCACGTGTTGGGTTTTGGTGCAGTTTGAGTAGCATATCCTGGTTGGGAAAAAAAAAAAGCCTGTTTTCTACAGATCAGTGTTAAAGTAGCCTAAAGAAACAATTGAGTACTGTCGTCTGTGATACTTTTTTTATTTTATTTGCACAAAACTACAATTTTGAGGACAAGCTTTCAGGGTATGTCCCCTTCAAGGTCTGAGCAGTACTATTACAATGTAGAACATTGTACAACAAAAACATTGTAATAGTACTGCTTGGACCTTGAAGAAAGGGACATACCCTGAAAGCTTGTCTTCAAAATTGTATGTTTGTGCAAATAAAAAAAAAGTAAAAGTATCACGGACAGTACTCAATTGTTTCTGTCGCAAGTGCACTAATACAGCTACAGTCACCTCAAACAAAGTAGCCTAAAGAATTTGAGGCATTACTCGGTCATTAAAGGTAACTGGCCTGAGGAATCTAAGTCAGGCTACACATGTTGGACAATATAATACATTTCTATTTGCCAGGTGTGCAAATCTGCTACATAGTATCTAATCTGTTAACTTTCTATGAGTCAATAATTTGAAGTGCAGATTATTGCTGCTCATATCTGCTTTATCAGGACACAAGAAGGTAAGATAATGATCCCCTGTGTCAATGATGCCAGTCTTTCCTGATGCAATAGTAGTTCTCCATACATCAGTGACTCCCAAGTGGCGAAATGAATTCTGTGTATGGAAGTACAATAATGGCAGTTGGTACTTCTCTGCTAATTACTAGATTTTAGCAATGCATTCCTATAGGCAATCTTACTACAAACTTCAAGGAACCTAAAATTATAAGACTTGGTCCAATTTCTTTCTGAAGCTTGGGCTTTGGGGGGGGGGGGGGGGTTGTTCCTTTGCGACTTGAATGCTTTATCAGAATATACTGATAAGCAGCTGAAGCGATCAACACATTTTCCAATGTTCCTGGAAACAGGATGGCCAGCTGGTTCCTGGCAGTTTGGCAGGTCCCTGCTGAACAGGCGGATTTGATCCATTTATGGCCAGCTTAAGCGAACATGTTTTGGGGTGTGGGAGGAAGCCAGAGTATCAGGAGGGAACCCTACTAACAGAACATGGAAATTCCATGTTCATGGTGTCCTGACTGGGAATTGACCTGAGGACCCCAGTGCTGCAAGGTAGAAGTGCTAAGCCACTGTGTGGCCCTAAATGTTATACTGCATAATGTGAAGGTTTGGTAACACTTATGGTTTAATTGGGCTGTGAAATGGGTAAATGAAACTGTCTGTCCAGCAATAGTGGCACAGATGTCTTCTGTAAAGATATCAGAAGTGGTGTATTTATGCTTTTACATTAATATAGTGCACTACCTGGCCTAACCTTGTAGAATGGTCCACTGCTCATGCTTTGCCCTATGTGTCCTTGAAACCGGTGTGACCTGATCCCTCTGAGCATGCCCTGATGATGCTATGGAGATGCTACGTGAGAGCAGGCATCTTAATGAATGGAGGCTGTGTTCAGACTCCCAGCTTCTCTGCCACCTTTTAAAGGAGGAATGTGTCAATTGTTTAACTTAAAGACCAGTTTTAATTCCAAATGTCCCTGTGCAGCTACAGTTTGTAGGGTGAAAAGAGAAGATTTACATTCTGAACCTAAAGGGTTAACAAAATGCTGCATTTCTGACGTAGGGAAGGCAGGGCTCAGCGGCCCAGGAAGATTCCTAGTCAAGGACGATGCTAGCAGTTGTGAACAGGGGATTGAACAGACTGCTGAATAGGCTTTCATAAGTCATGACTCTGATCAAGGGCTAGTTCATGTATGTTGGGTTAAAGCATCACACATGAAGGGGAAAGACCTGACTATGCTCTGACCTTGAGGGAACATTGGGCCCCGTGAAGCCACTCCTTTAAAGAATGGTGGATTAACCCCTCCTTCTCTAGCACAGGATGTGGTCTTTTACTAGAAATGTACTTTAAACCTACAATCCTGCTAAATTCTCAATCATTATAGGAACCTAGCATCTTAAAAGCTAAAGATTATTTAAAATGGCCATGCATCTAACGTGTTAAGGAACACATAAACAAATTGACAGATTAGTGACTGAATATTGTCTCCACCAGCTTCCTGGATATGCCCTTCTGCTGCAGCCATAACCTAACCATCCCATCATTCCTATTGTTTTTACAGTGTAGTGGCATCTCCAACATCTGGGCATGCTCAGAGGTCAGGTCAGGGTGCTGAGTGGCCCCAGTAAATTGGGAGGACTTGTTCTTTATAGGTTGTAGAATTTGCTTTTTTGGGTATATAGACTTGTTTGTGAACTAAGGATTAATTAACTGTTCTACTGTTTTTTAGGTAAAACGCCATCATGTCCATCCAGAAGATTCACGCAAGACAAATTTTTGACTCCCGTGGTAACCCCACTGTGGAGGTTGACCTCTTTACATCTAAAGGTTTGTAACAAAATATTCCCCTCTCCAATGTAAGTGTGCCTTTTTTGAACTGGAGTGGTGGCTGACAGGGTATCTGGGTAATCCAAGGGGCAGGTGGCAGTCAGGTTCAGCAGATGGCCATAACAAATGCTCAACTTTTTTTACATTTAAGGCAATTTCACTCTAAAATGACCTTGAAAACACATGTTCCCATTAGCTTGGCTTTTCTGCCAGGACCAGCTGTTGAATATGCACTAAATGGATTGTTTGTGATGAACAATTTTCAAACATTAATCAATTGTATTACTGCATCTATGGTCTCAAAGTGATCCAGTACTGAGGTATGGCGGCCATCTTTGTTGCCTTCTGGTAGCTGTCTGCAATGCTGGTCTCTGGCAAAGACCAATCTAGAGGTGTGCAGAACCACTCAGGCAAATCAGATGTTGTATAGTTGCTCAGGTAAGTTGTGCCCTGTTAACACCTGTTTTGAGGTGCATTGTGGGGGAAAAAAAATCTACATGCTGCATATTTAATGCACTTTCATCAAAATGCACATTGGTGTTCAATGGCAAAACAAAATGCATGTTATTGCAGCACACAATGTGCACCAGGCATAAGAGTACTGAAGCCAGAGGCAGCTATACAGCTAACCTTTTTATGTAGGTGGTCAGTGACCAGCATTTGACAGGCTCCTTGACAACCACACTATAGCTTAATGACTGCTACAGTGCGATTGCCCAGTTCTGGGAGGGCGTCATGACGTCCTCCCAGAACGCCCCCAGCGGTGCGCACCCTGCAATCTCCATGATCCCTCTGTCCTACGGACACAACTGATCACGTGATGTGGTAAAAGGCCAATCACAGCAGTCTTTTACCATGTGATCAGCTGTGTCCAATGACACAGCAGACCACCGGGTAAATACAGTTGCTGGCTATCGGCTGCACCTTCTGCATGCTGTCAGTGTGAGGAAAGTACTGCCGATAACCGGCAACTGTCAGAAAAAAGATCGGCACTGATTATCAGTGCCACTTCATTGGTGCAGCCTAATCAACACACCAGTGAAGGAGAAAAAATTACCTGTTTGCAAAATTTTATAATAGAAACAAACTTTTTGCATTTTGTTTATAGTGCAAAAGCTAAAATGTCCAGTGGCAATTAAATACCACCAAAAAGCTCTATTGTGTGGAAAAAAAATTATATTTCATATGGGTATAATATTGCATGACTGTGCAATTGTCATTCAAAGTGCAACAGTGCTGAAAGCTGAAAATTGGTCTGAGCAGGAAGGCAGTATAAGTGCCCAGTAGGCAAGTGGTTAAAATGGAGTGCAGCAGAGGTTTTGCCATTCATATAGATGTGCTTGGTGTCCAGATCAAAACCAAAATTGGGCAGTTGTCTAAGTCTGGGAATAGCTGCTTTTGGACCACTGCTTTCAAAGTGGTTATAAAAGCAAAAGGGTGTTTTTACCTTAATACATTCTCTGCATTTAAGGTAAAAATTTAGATTGCTCCCCAAGCCTCCCCTTAAACACATGCCTATGCCTGATCTTGATCCAGCACCGTGCCCTGCAGTAGCTCTTCTAACCTCTCGTCAAAGGAGACTTTGCCAGAGCCGCTGGCTCCTGACTGTCAAAATCGGTGAAAGGGAGGGCCAGGCCAAGCCACACTGTCTAAAGGCACACAGCCAAGCTCAGGATTGAGCCCACACAAGTGTCCCCATAGCAAGTGGCTTGCTAGGGGGGGCATGTGGAGAAGGAGCCAATATCGCAAGCAGAGGACTTCAGAAGAGGTTTTGGGCCACTGTACAAAAGTACTGCACACAGCAGGCAAGTATGACATGTTCTAAAAAGAGTACCTTTGCAGTCTAAGGCCGCTTGCTAGTTTTAGGTAGCATCTTTATTCTTCTGGACATAGAAAATTAATAGGGCACTAAGTTTTGCCACTGAAAGAAGGCACAATGAATGCAGATATTCAGTCAAGGCTTGCTTATTCTGACCAAAGTGTCCAGTCACTGTACTTGATTCTCCTGATTTATTATACTTTATTGCTCTAGAAATTAGCAGTACAACAGCTGAAGGCATGGCAAATGGGTGTCTTAAGACCTCTCTGCCATGCAGTTCTCTGCATTAAACCAAATCTAGGTTCAATTTTGAATAAAGATTGTACAGTTTTTGTACTATAGTAGTGATGTTGGGCCTTCATTCAAGGGGTGCCATTAACTTAGTGATTGTAACAGTAGGTTTTTACACTTTTTTTTTTTTTTTTTTTTTTATGCATTCTTTGCATTGAGCTTCACAAAGTTTAGCTTCTTCTTCCCCAGCCCCCTTACAAGAGCTTGATCTCAATCCAGCACTATCCAAAAGCAGCAGCTCTTCATTCTCTACACTGGATTTGTAGAATGCAGCGGTAGCTATTGTCTCCTGCTGTCAATCACTGCCAGTGGAGGGCAGGGCAGAGCCCACACAAGTGCCCCCATAGCCAATGACTTGCTATGTGGACACTTGGCAGGGGGGAGAATATGGGAGTGCTGGCAAGGGATCCCCAGAAGAGGGATCTGGGCTTCTCTGTGCAAAACTATTGCACAGAGCAGGTATGTATAACGTAACATGTTATGTTTTTACAATCACTTTAAATGTAAAAAGAGCAGAGGAAATGAACTGTTGGGTGAGGATTATGAATGGCTGGCTATTGGATACAGACAACAAATACACGCCTGTATTGTAGATGACAGTCAGAACTCTAAAAGCATGAACACATGCAAAACGTTCCAGTTTGGGTAGTGGGATACAGACGCATCTTCTATTGTGCTTTTTATACTGTCCAGTGGGAAGAGGCTGCTTACTAGTGGTAACCCACATGAAGTTAGGGGAAAAATATCCTCAACTGGACAATGGAGTGCACTATATGGTGGAGATAGTTGGGCTTTGATTCAGCATGTAGAATGTAATTCAGAATCCCTGTTAGTCACAAGCTTTTCCTCTGAGGAATGGACACCTACTAGAGGGGGCTAGAAGTGTAGTATACCTTATTACAAAGTTCTCCAAAGTACTAGTGGTTTGTTCTGCTGTGCAGTCCAGCTGGAAATGTGCTGACAGCATCTCAATTGGAAATACTAATCTACATCTGGGGAATTGCAGTTAAAGTAACAGTGGTAACTGTCATGGCCTCATTATTGGCCACCGTTGGCTACATCTCCTGCTCAGAGTACAGTATTCTGATGAAGATGAGGCAGGGTATGTTTGGCAGTCAGTGGTAAACTTGTGTTTGATCTCTATATCAACACTGTTTTTATGTTTTAATTTGATGTGATGTATATTGAGACTGCCCAGTGAGGCTTGAGACGTTAGGATGGGCAAACAAAGATTTAGATGAATTCTGGCTCTTGTGAAATCTGTGAACTCTCAGCAGGGTCATCATGGTAGATTAAACTTTTGGCCATGTTTAAGCCTCTATTGTCATACTCGCTGATGACCACTGTTTTCTCTTTGCAGGGTTGTTCCGTGCTGCTGTACCCAGTGGTGCCTCTACTGGTATCTATGAGGCACTTGAGCTCCGTGACAATGATAAAACCTGCTACCTGGGAAAGGGTAAAGTCTTTACCTTGTTAGTTTGTTTTTTTTTTTTTTTTTTTTTTTTTTTAAAAACAATTTTGGTGTTGGGAGGTTTTCTGAGTGTCCGATTTTAGGTTTTCTTCTGAGCTTTTTTTAAAATTTTCCCGTGAAGAGCCCAAATGTTTGGTTGTCCCATATCCTGTATATCCAGAGGTACTTTTTCATCAGACCCCAAACCATTGTCATGGGTTTTCTTCAATTTGTATTACAAAACAGAAGGGGGAGGGCACTAAAGCCCTAAAACATGTATACATTTTATTTTTTTTTTTTTCCGACACTATGGTAGGTTCTTTATCGGGGCCCTTTTGGGAGTGACTTGGCCTTGCAGCTTTAGCTGCTGCTAATGGTGAACAATGGTTCAAGGAAATTGTCAGTCAGTGTTTCCTCACCTGTCTTTTTATCCTTCACTCAGGTGTTAACAGAGCTGTGAAATATATAAATGAATTTCTGGCACCTGCTTTGACCACCCAGGTAATGGGAGCTTGTGCCCTGCACTCCTCCCAGCGCATGGGGTTTGACTAACTTCTCCAAAGTGACATTCCTAGACAGCCCACTTCTCCTGCTTGCCAAGTTAGAAATGCATGAATTGTATAACCTAAAACTGTACAACAGACCCAAGTCTTCTGTGCTTCTGGCACAGGAACTCACTACATGGAAAATGACTATGGACTGTCCACACTAAACTTGTGCCAGTGAGACTTGGTCTACTGCTTTGTGGTCTACTGATCTGTAGTTTAATTCTTTGGGTCTACCAAAGGCTCAAATGAACTGCAGATGTGACCATGTGTAAAACAAGTCTGGTGTGATGGCATAAAGGCTTTTTAGCAGGAGTTGTGAGTCTAGTAATGTTGCTGGAGCATGCAAGTGTGATATGTGCAGTGATTGAATGTGCTTGTCCTTTCTAGGTGTCTTAAAAAGCCGTTGAGCACATCAATAATTGCATTGCACCAGCACTGGTTGGAAAGGTATGGGATCTTGTCTTGCTAACTCCTTGCTAACCTTTTGTCTGTCTGGTCTGTTGCTGGGGGTTTTTTTTTTTCTGCAAGGTTTTAACCACCTCCCGTTCAGCCGTTGTATATAAATGGCCGGACGGTGGCAGTGCAGGGGCGGGTGGCCATTTATAAACTGCCTCCCTGTCCCCTGCTTGTGCGTGCATGCTCCCTGGGAGCGCACAGCACTGCAATCCGGTGCCCGGTGTGTCCTCAGGACATAGTGGAACACTGATCGTCGTACAGGAACTCTGTGTGAGGTCCTGATCATGTGATCACTGATTGACCAATCAGTGATCACATGCAGAGTATTAAGCAAGATTTTACTTCTGACATTGCTTACTACATGTGAAATCTCTGAATGATCAGATCACATGGTACAAGGCTATTCACAACAGCCTTGTACCATGTGACAAGCTGTGACCAATCACAGCTCACACAGTATTTCTTAATGGCTGCAAGAATGCAGCCAGTGGAGAAATGATTGCTTTTACAGACTTTATACATGACAGGGTGACAATATGTAAAAAAAAATCAAATATTTAATTTTTTTTTTTTTACTAAAGATAACTATCAATTTTGGCCTAGATTTATGATGACATTATTTGCAAAATTTTATAAAACACTTTTCAAACTTTTTGGACTTTTCATTTATATATCAAAAAAATAAATCCCAGTGGTGAATAAATACCATCAAAAAAAGCTTTATCTGTCTCAAAAATGCTAAATTCAGATGGGTATGGTCTTGCATGACCACGCAATGGTCACTCAGTGTGACAGCGCTGAAAATTGGCCTAGACAGGAAGGGGGTAAAAGTGTCTGGACTTGAAGTGGTTAAACATTGTAAAATCTTAATCTTTCAGATATTTAAAGCAGAACTCCAGGTAAGTGTCTCCTGTAGTGGGGCTGTGCCCACACTACATGAGTTAACTGCTTGTTTTGTCCATGGCGCCCTTGAAAGGCTGTACTTGCCTTATCTTTTGATGTGGGGGAGAGCCATTATCAGGAGGTTCAATCGGTGGACTTTTTGCTGTCCTCATGTCAGGGCAGTGTCCATTCACAAAACTGCTATTGTGCAGTGGGTAGAAGTGGCAGGGACCAGTCTTGTGCTTGGAGGATAGGTGTATTACACAAGTATAGTATCTTTCATCTTGTCGCTCCTAGACAAAAACAAGCAGTGCAGGCACAGCCCCACTGTGTGGTACAAAAACTTGTCTGGGATTCTGCTTTAAACCTCTGTAGACAAGTTTTGAATAGAATCCACTCCTGTCAGACCTTTTTGCTATCTTTGTAGGGGAAATTCCCCACCTCTGCTCTGGTGAGCCAACATGGAGGGTAATCTCTTAGCTGTCACCGGTACAGGTTTTGGTTTAGATTTGCTTTAATACAGGTGCTAACATGTGTTTGCAGAGCTTACTGGGATCCTAGCAAAGCCCATAATTTTCTCACCTTGCTCTCAAACTTCTCAGAAATGATTTCTGATGAGATGTCCCAGCTGTCACATGGCAAATCAAATTATTAAACCCTGAAGGCTTCTTTGCACCACATTTCTGCTTTCCGGATGCATTTTTGTAAGTTTTTGATGTGTCTTCAATACATTCTAGTTTTTTGTTTGGGTTTTTTTTTTTACACTAGAAAAATCCTTAGTCATTCAGGATAATGCTCATGCCATCACTACTAAACAAAAAAGCAGCAGGTTGTAATTTTGACAGCACTGTAACTTTCCACAATGGAGTGTACTAGGGCCATTGGAACATGGTAAACAATGGGAATTCAGTCTGAATGCTGCTGTGATGCTTTCCCACCGTCCCCCCCCCCCCATTCTAAGCCTGTCCTACCTGCCCTCTAAAAGGAAATGTCTACTTGCCTGTTCCTGAAGTCACTCTGGCCACATGATTTCTTCAGTGCTAGCTTCAGTGTACAGGAGATTGCTGACAACAGCTGCTGAACCTGTGCAATGTTACCCATAGGCTTATGTGGCATCTGGCTGTCCTTTCTACACCAAACTGATGCTGGGACCTGATCATGTGACCAGAAAAGGGAAGTGTAGGCATCTTTCCTTTCACAGGTTAGAGAGAATAGGCTTTAGGGGTGGGAGTAGATTTAAGCTTGGTCTGGTTTTGACTTTTCACTGTTTAATGGACTTGCACCACCTACTGGCTACTATAAACTATACATATACAGTTTGAACTATTACATATGTATTTCATGTTTACTCGCAGTAAAGACCCCCCCCCCCCCCTCGACCTGAACATGGTTAGCTGACAGGTCTATGACATTCTTCTCCTGGTTTAAGCCCCTAGTCACATCAGGTGCGATTTGCATGCTGGGGGACTTGCAAATCGTAGGCCAAGTCCTTATTGTCTGCTATTAGAGCGGTCATATCGGTGTGGTTCTTACTTGGTCAGAGCTGTGAAAATTTCTAAAGTAGTGCATGTACTATTCATGCAATTTGCATAGACATCTGCACTGTAAGTCGCACTATTTCAAAATCTGCTTTGATGTGACAGGGGGCTGATGCTGCTGGCAACTTATGGCAATACTTCTGTTAGAGTGCTGTATGGTAGAAGGGTATCTTATTATTTCCAAGGTATGTCTTAATGTAAGGGGTCACACCACCCTTTCAAATCTCAATTAGTGTTGAATATAATGTATATAGCAACAGACTGAACTGTTCTTTAGTATTGCACAATAACTGCACCAAGTGACGTAAGAATTGTTACCATGGTCTTGGCATTGAAAGAGATCAGAGATGACACTAAACTCTGCTTTTTAGGACAGCACTTCATAGCTTTTTCTCAAGTTCTAGACCATAGAGGATCTTGGCCTATATTTGATTTCAGGGTTCATTCATGCTGTTTTTCCTCTGCCTTGGTTAATGCAGGTCATAAGGACATAGAAACAAGCAGCGCTGCTGTACAGTGACATGAATGAAATTCCTATATGCAGCCAACAGTGATGTGCTGAAACATGCATCACACTGCTCCCTGCTGGAGTTGACACTTTTTACTAGCCTGCACAGTAAAATGTTTTTTACTATGCAGACTTGTATGAACCTAGCCTAAGGAAATACATTCTGATTAATGGTAGACCTCCCTGAATGCTAAGGAAGGCAAATTTCAATGTAGACATGCAGTAACAGGTGTTCATGGACACTTGATAGACTATCTGCAGGTTCATTTAACGAGTGCACAGCTTAACTTGCAGATGACATCAGTGTCTAGCTACTCGGCAATGCATCTTCAGCTGCATATGCCTGTAAGCTTTGTGATCATGCTAGCAACTTTTTTTTTTTTTTTTTTTTTTTTCCCCTCAAACATGCATGCTATACAAAATTTAACATTTTAATGTAACCTCTAGCCAACCATGCTATAGCCAAATGACAGCTACAGCGTGGTTGTCTAGGTCTGGGAGGGCGTTGTATGGTGTCCTTTCAGAACACATGCCCCCAGCAGTGCGGTCCTGGCGATCTCCGATCGTTGTCCTACGGACACAGCTGATCATGTGATTAGGTAAAAGGCCAATCAGTGGTCTTTTACCACATGATCAGCTGTGTCCAATGACACAGCAGATCCCTGAGTAAATACAGTTGCCGGTTATCTGTCACAGCGTGAGGAAAGTACTGACTATAACCGGCAATTGTCATAGAACAGATTGGCACTGATCGGTGCTACCTCATCGGTGCAGCCTCATAAACTTCACATCAGTGAAGGAGGAAAATTACTTGTTTGCAAAAAACACCCAGTGGGGATTAAATGCCACCAAAAAGCTGTGGGGGGAAATAATTTTTATATGGATAGTGTTGCATGACCATGCAATTGTCGCAAGTGCAACAGCACTGAAAGCTGAAAATTGGCCTGGGCAGGAAGGGGGTAAAATTGCCCAGTAGGCAAGTGGTTAATCTCTGAAGATTGATCAAAACTTTACTAAAGGATTAAGGGCTGTGGTGACTTTTTGCTATACAAGTGGCCAGTTTTATAGCTGGCTTTAACTACATTGGGCAGCTATCTGGAAAACATGCCACACAGAGGGCCTAAAACAAGCTTACAATGCAGAACAGAACCTGAAGGTTCTTGCACACTTTTTGTATACCTGGGACATGTGCAGAGGTGTTTCCTTGACATTACCAGTTAGAATAGATGGTGCTGTGTCAGCCTGTGTGGTCTGACTCTGTTGCAGTTGACATGTAAATGGCTGGCTGTAGGTTAAGCATGAGTGGCTGTATGACCTACATTTGTATGTAGGACCAGATTTTGGTCATACTAATCCTTTTAGAGAACCAAAGCGGGCAAAATTGAGATTGTCAAGTGCCTGGCTTTTATCGCTCCTGGGAGGGGGACTGGCGTAAGTCATGATTCTACAGGAAAATGGTAAGGCAGCTTTATACAGATTGCATTGATTTGCATTATTTCTTCCATCCACTCATTTGGGTGTGGGGTTTTTCATAACTTTGCTACTGGTTTAAATTAAACCAAGGCAAGCCAAATGAGCTTTCTTCCACTTACAATTCTACAAATGCTTAAGTACAGTATCAGATGTCACTGCTACAGGGTGTTGGCACCTGCTTAGTACCAGCAATGCTTTAATGTCTCCTAGATTGTAAGCTGCAAGGAGCAGGGCCCTCCTTTCCCTCTTGTATTGAACTGTATTGTCTCCCGTTATATTGTAAAGCGCTGAGCAAACTGTTGGCGCTATATAAATCCTGAATAATACACCTTATTGTAAAAACACATTGAATGAATTGCTTTAACTGCACCTTGAGCTTAACCGCATCCTCTGACTCTTTAATCATGCATGAAGGTAGAAGCTTTTTAATCTCTCTTCTTGCAGAATGTAAGTGTTGTGGAACAAGAGAAGATTGACAAACTCATGCTGGATATGGATGGAACAGAGAACAAATGTAAGAATCTGAACAATGCAATACAGTGTTCATACATGTTATAGAATTTTACCTGACTCTTGCAGTGACTGCAGTAGCATTGTATTGGTCATCCCAACATCCATGAGAAATTACCTGATTGCAACAAGCCATGCTCAGATCAGTGTTGACTGAATTGTTTGGCAGAAGGAAGTCCTGTAGCAGTGGAGTAAGAGCACAGCTTTACTATATGTAGAGCACAAACTCTACAGTTCATTATGGCTTCCCCAGCAGCTGGACTTTACTGCAAAAAAAGACTCCAATACCTATTGGCCAATAAAAAAACGAGTTAAATATAAAGTTTTGTGTAATAATTCAAAGGGGTGCTAAATATGCCAGATAAGAGATTCTATACCTCAGCGCTAATGTCACAAATAGCGGATTGGATATATAATTCCCCGGGGAGAAGCTGGGTAAAAATGAAGTGCACAATAACAGGATTATTTGGATACCACAAGTTTTGTACATTGGACGAAGATACTAGCACTTTGACACGGAATGTATTGAGGATTTGGGATGTACTACACCAGCAGATGGGATTGGAAATATAATTCACTATCCATTCTGTTGGTGAGAACAATTTTTCCCACCTGGAATTATTTCAGGGAAATAGATTAGGGATCGTAACACACGTTTAAAAGATATTGTATATAAAGGGGATTATGTTCTTTACATGATTTAAAGAAAATAAGGAAATGTATTCTACATTAAATGAATGGCAGTACTATCAATTAAGACATTTTGTTGCAATGCTCCCACAACCATTACAAGTAAGATATATGTATCCTTTAGAGCATATGTTTAGTTTAAACACAATACAAAAACATGCTACCTCTAGGATTTACAAGATTCCAATTCTTAGATAAGTGGGAAAAGGAGCTTGGAATAAAATTGAATGAGCAACAAAAAACAATGTTTAGATTAACACATGGGGTGGTAAATTATAAATATAGTTGAGATGAAATGTCTTGTAAGATGGTATATTACACATAATGTAGCACAAAGTAAAACATGGCACCTTTAAATGCATGTGCCTCTACTATGGGGACTCAGATTTGTAGTTAGGACCACAGAATACCAGGGTGCCATGATGTGGCTTACGTATGTATTTGCATATATGTGCTAACTAAACCCCTGTTAATGCATACTGTTAGACAGGTTAAATTTGGTTGTTGGCAAGCTGGCTGGCGAGTTGATTTTTTTGAACCCTTTTTTGTTTTTCTTTTATTACTGACATAATGTAGCACACAAGCAAAGACCATAGGTATTACCTTTTGTGTTGGAGGGGGTGTGGTATTAAGGGAACAATGGCACATGTTTGGGACTGTCCTAAAATACAGGTGTGCTGGCAGGTGATAATTCAATATATACAGGAGATGAGGATTAGTATACAGTTACCCGTGGGTTTGTTTTTTTTCACAAATCAGACTTCTGTGAAGCATTATAAAATTACAATACAGTTTCATTTAATAAATGTGGCCGAAGGTCTCATTCCTAAATTTTGGCAAGCAATGGATCCCTTAAAATAAGATCGGTTAATTAGCGTTGAGTATATACATAAGAAGGAAGAACTATAACATATGGATGAGGATAAAATAGAAAAATTTAAATTCTTTAAAGTTGGTATGACTTTAAAAAAATCAAAGATTTAGAAGTGGTTGGAGTGTAAAGGAGTGTGTAGTAGGATAAGAGAAGGAAAAGGATAGGAGGATGGAGAAGTTAAAAGAATATTAGAATAAGAAGTAAATGATGGGATAAAGGGGTAATTGGTGGGGGGGGGGGGGTAAAAAGGAGATGGGGGAATAGATAAATGTAAGTGGAATTTGTTTTTTTTTTTTTTGTTACATATATTGGTTTAAAACTAGAGCTAGCCCTGACTGATTTAGCAAGCGTTCTCCTCCTGCAAACAGATGGCTGCTTCTGTAGCACTGTAGGACAATAAATGGATTTACTAGTTCTGAAATAACTCTCCTGCCTGCAAAGAAGTTGTCTAATTTGATCATGTGCTAGATCATTACTCCAATTCCCCTGCTAGGCTCTATCCAAACTCTAATCCTGATTTGAAAGTTGGGAACACTGCTGTGAGCCAACATTCTGATCTATATTTTATATTCTGATGATTCCTATGGATGTCACTGACTTAAAGTACAATAAAAGTTTGGCTTTCATATAGAACCCTGGTGGCCATGGGAGGGGGTTGTATCACCCAGCCCTCCAAATGAACAAATAAGTGTAATTTAATGAGATAGTTAGGGCTCCTTCACACAGGCAGAAAAATGCAGTGTTTAGATGTGTGCAGCAGATAGCAGTTGTGTGTTTTTTTGTTTTTCTGTATGCATCAAGGCAGCACTATAGTAATAAATGAGCCCATACAAATGGCTAATTGTATGTGAAAATGTGTGCTGAATTTAGCTGTACTGAAGAAATAGAACTTTGCATCCAGAGTATATGCATATCTGCAAATGTACCTGCATAACTATTCATTTCAATGAAACTGTATGCATCTTAGAGCACTTTAGATGTGTAAACTAAATATTGAACACAGGAACAGTGAGCGCTCAAGACTAGGGTTCCTTTTAGTGCATTTGCTGCTGACCTCAGACATTCTAAAACAAATTGGTGCAGCACTGAAAAAATATATAAAGGTGCAATACTCAAAATATTGTTGATATGAAGATATTATTAAATACAAGTGATAACACAGAAGTGAATGAAGCGCTACAATGAGTACGATTAAACAAGTGCAGCTGTGAAAATCCTAAAACAAAACAGTGTTCATATGATGGTGAGGGTTTGATAAACAGTCAGAAAATTGTGCTGCACACAAATCTTATTGTACAGGTGGTATCAGATTATTCCATGTGACTGTTTTCCATGCAAGGAATTTATAAAAAATACGCACTCACCAGATGTGCGTAGTAAAAGCACAATGTGTTTGCATCATATTGACCAAGGATCTGCAGGAAGCCCCCTTTAAATGGACCAGACAGACCGCATGGGAAGAGACTCCCTCCTCTGGATCTAAGACTGCTCTGCAACTTATCGAACTGGAGTCCTGGAAATCATTTAGCTCAATAGAGCCAAAAAAGGTGCTCATAGTGTAGTAATTTATCAGAATTATTTAAAGTAGTACACCTTCCACGTGGAAATGGTGCCAAAAAACAGTTTAAAATAGTGGAAGTGACTAAGATGGCTGATTGCAGAGCAGTCTCAGATTCAGAGGGAGTCTCTTCCCATGCTGTTTGGTCCATTTTAAAGGGGGCTTCCTGCAGATCCTTGGTCAGTATGATTCAACACCTTGCGCTTTTACTATGCACATCTGGAGAGTGCATTTTTATCAATTCCCTGCATGGATAAGTTGCATGGAATAATCTGATTCCACCTGTGCAATAAGATTCATGTGCAGCACAATTTTCTGACCACTGTTTTTCAGACCCTCACCATCATATGAACACTTTTTTGTTTTGTGACTTTAGATGTGTTATGTAGGATCTTCTGCTAGCTCTGCCAGCAAGAACTGGTGTTCTGTGCAGGAAATACATGTCATGTGAATGAGGCCTTAATCTAGTATCATTTGAAACAGTTTTGCTCTAATGTAAACTCTAATTCTATTCAATGAACTAACATTTTGACTTCTGACTTCTAGCCAAGTTTGGTGCCAATGCCATTCTGGGAGTGTCCCTAGCAGTGTGCAAGGCTGGTGCTGCTGAGAAGGGAGTTCCTCTTTACCGCCACATTGCTGACCTAGCTGGGAACAATGAGGTCATCCTGCCTGTTCCAGTGAGTTTAATTTTTTTTTTTTTTTTTTTTTTTTTTTTCCTTCAATGCATGTTATATTGGTTGAGTGAATACAATTCTCCCTTATAGTGAAACATTGTGTCTCAGGAAATTATAGCTTTCTAGTATTTGAAACAGGCATGTTGCTGCTTAAATGAACCAGTGGTTGTAGGTTTAGTAAACTAGGACTAGCTTAACCTTGCATTGCAGTAATACTTGTGCTACAAGTGACCATAGACAAGCATTACTGCAATGCCAATAAATGCCCACACACTAAGACAACACACTACAACATGGCATACAACACTTCTCATGCCATGCATTGCTAAAGGTCTGGTTTGAAGTGCATTGACCATCAATAGTGCATGTTAATGCACCACAGTGCAGAAAAGCAAACCATTGCATAGGGTGGCACCACTTGGCACAGAGTGCTGCATGAACTGCACTATTTTCAAGCACAAACCGTAGAACCAGGAATGAAAGCTGGGGTTATACTACAAGGTTTCAATAAAGTAATGCAGAATGTCTGTCTGGGTTTTGCCAAACATTGATAACACTGTTCAACAGGTAAAAAGTTTTGGGCATAAAATTAGCTAATCTTACATAATTTTGGGGTGCTGAAAACGAAAATGACCCTAAAAAATGTTGATTGGCTCTAGTTTTCATACTATATTCACCCATCTAATGACGTAAGCCATTCAAAATTATGATGCAACTTCAGCTGCATATTGCGCAATTGATACTGGTGACCAATAGAAAATTGCATGTATACTGAGATGATGCAATATTAGCCTTTAATTGCATCACTTCACTGCATAAAAGCTGCAGTATCTGTAGCTGATTGTAGTTCGACAGTGTCTTTACATTTCGTTTTATGCTTATATAGGCTACTCAGTAATGCCTCGAACTTGTGTGAATAAAGCAGATAATTTCTGCTATATCTGCAGTGAAATAACTTTTATCTCACAAAAAAGGAGGATAACAGGAATGATTAAGAAAGCCTACAACTTGTATTTTGGCTGCAAGATAGGAGACCAGGACAAGAGCTGGGCACCACATATATGCTGCAATTCTTGTGGGACGGCACTGGAGCAATGGTTGAATGGAAAAAAAAAAGGCATCTATGCCTTTCGCTGTGCCAATGATTTGGAGAGAGCCAACAGATCATGTTAGTAATTGTTACTTTTGTATGGTGCCTCCAACAAAAGGGCTAAATAAGAAGAAAAAGTTATCTGTGCACTATCCAAATATTCCATCGGCAATACGTCCAGTTCCTCATGGAGAGGGGCTACCAATTCCTAAAGCACCAGAATCCTTAGTGGTTGAGTCAAGTGAGGAAGAACCTGAAGCGTGTAGTCATGTGCAGTTGTAAGAGAGAGCCCTTTCCTCGAATACAAGAGAAAAGCCAAGAGAAGCAAAACCGACACAAACTGAAGACAAAACTAGTGAGAATCCTAAGTATTAAAATGATTCAACTTAGCTTATGGCTATAATTTTTCTTGGTAATCCTATGCAATATATTATGCCATTTAGGCTTTGTTATGTAGTCAATATCACTTGCTTTATATTTGTGGAAAGACATCTATCTATATAATTATTGTGCATTATGTAGTCATTACGCCTATAGTAGAAAACTTTCCGTTTACAGAAAAACTAGAGCCAATTGACAAATTTCATTGTTATATTTGAACTCAGAATGTGAAATTCATTAAGAAATGGATCCTTTTGTTTCCAAAACTGGCAAAAAATTTGTTGAACAGTGTAATCTATCAACTGTCCTTTGTGCTAATTTAAGAGCTAGGTTCAGTGTGCTAAAGCCCAATGCTGTCTTGATCATCCTGATTCCAAGGAGTGCCCCATACCCAGTACTGGCTTTTTTCTTGGCTTGGGTAGTGAATGAGCTCAAAGGGTTAAACTGCCTAGGGTGCAAGCAGCAAAGCTTGAAAGTCTTAAACCTGTGAGTGAGGGTAAGGACTATTTTGGCAAGGCACTAGAATAACCTGCAGGCTGCAATTATCAGATTTTGGGAAATTATGCATCTAAAGGGGAAACACACTTTAATGTAATTCTAAACAATTTAATTTACATTCTCCTTTCTCTGTGGATGATGGCAATGTATAATAGGAAAAGTAGCTTTTTCCTAAAATATATTCTATATATTCACATGACCCAGCTCTTTCCCAGCCTGTCTGTGAGGAAATGTGACAGGAGGAGCTTCTAGTCTGCTGCTGGTCACATGTTCAAAATAAAAAACACTGTTGGGATACAGTGGTAAAAAACCCACAACTTTAAATCTCCATACACTTAGAATGTTTTTTTTTTTTTTTCTCTACAGTAACATGGTGTGGGTGCATTTCTAACTGTTATGCCCCTCTAGCCAGTGCCTTAGAATAACAGGGAGGTGAAGCCTCAATCAGTCAACATGTAATATTCTACCCCCCCTTGTGTTTAGCTGGTTAGTGGGCATAGAGGAGTGAGGGAGTGGGCTGTTCAGATGTGATGGGGAGGAAATGCTCAGCATAGAAACGTGCTGAAAACAGGGATTTTGCAGAGCAGTGTTGGCAGCTACTGCACTCACCAACTGCACTGGAGAAATGGACATAATGGGGAGACCAAACAGCAGGATTAAGCAGGCTGTTTGCAAAATACGAATCCTAGTCAAACTGCGTGTTAAAAATAAGGCTGTGAAATACTGCACAAAACAGGAATGTGTGGATACTGCCGTTTGATCAGTGGTTTTAATAATTTTGCTGACAGTAAGTTTGTAGCTGGGGGGTGGATGCAGTACAAAATGTTAAAACTGTTGCTGGACATATGTGCTGAAATTCTAATTGTCATTTCAGGCCTTCAATGTGATCAATGGTGGATCTCATGCTGGTAACAAGTTGGCTATGCAGGAATTCATGATCCTGCCAGTGGGGGCATCAAGCTTCAAGGAGGCCATGCGCATTGGTGCTGAAGTTTACCACAACCTGAAGAACGTGATCAAGGAGAAGTATGGGAAGGATGCCACAAATGTGGGCGATGAAGGTGGATTTGCACCAAATATCCTTGAGAATAAGGAAGGTAAGATTGCTTGGCTTTTGGCCCCAAGATTCAGATTTCCAGGTAGCCAAAAAGTTGACATGCTATACCCTCTGACCATAGTAAAGAGAACTTGGCAACTTAATCTTTAAAGTGTTGCTAAAACCCACGACTGTAAAATCAGTCTGTATATGCAGTAAAGCTTGATTGTTATAATCACTGTGGAACCTAAGGGGTTCATCCTCCACATTGTGTAAAAGATGTTTAATCCTGTCTTCTCTGATCCTTCCCTTCTTCCAGTCCCCAATCCAGCTGATAGAACATCCTTGGGGGCAAGCTGCACATGCTCATTTTGGTGTGCTAGAGGTTTTTCTTGGGAGTGCATGTGATTGGCCCTGTGCCAATCAGTGCTGTCCAGACAGGGTCAGGGGTTATGTGGCCTCATAGGACAATTGAGGGAGAATACAAACTCCAAGCTTTAACCAGTGCTTTGCTAGACACTGATAGAAGTCACAACACTGCTGTAATGACTGATGAGAAAAGGTGTTTAGCAGTTTATTTACTAAAATTGCATTTGTGTACTGTGGGACACCAGATATAGTGAATGCAGGGTCCTAGGTTTGGTAACCCTTTAACTTCAGAGCTCAACAGTGTCTCGCTCCATCTTCTTGATCTTGCAGCATAGTGTAGTAGAGACAAAAAAAGATGCTGGGACTGACTAGAACTCCCAGCTGCTTTACAGGGGTGCAATATTTTTGTTTGTTTTTTTCAGTATGGGTGCAGACAATGCAGCATTTGTGGACCACTCAACATCTAACTCCTGTAGACTACATGACTCTAGTCCTAGGAGTAGATATGGGTCTCCCAGAATGCAGATATAAAGTTCTATTTTGGACACCAGAGATGCGGTTGAACAAAAGACTTGCCATTTGAAAGTGAAGCCTGATTCCCATAAACTGCTTTGAAAACAGCGTTGCTGTGCAGCTTGTGAACGCAAGACTTGCTGGAAGTACAGTTGTCTTTGCATGCTTGTGTAATTCAATTGTACCAAGGGATCCAGGTGGCTGAGGTTGCGATGATCTTCACCCTTTGAGTTTTTTTTTTTTTTTTTTTTTTTTTTTTTTCCCTCAAGGAAAAAATACAGGCTTGCATGGAAATTAAGGCACATCCAAAATGTTGGACTTCTCTCCATCACATCACACAAGAAAAACAAAACTAGTGCTCTCTCTGAGACTAAGAACCTCTCCAGAGATGGACTGGAGGTGATTCTAAACCAATTCTCACTTGGAGGGCAAAAAAGGCAACCATAAGTTCCATGAGACTGGAATGAGTTGGGCTAGGAATACAATGATGAGATGTATCAATTTGGGTATAAAACCTGCAACAATCTTTAACAGCTTTTCAGTCCTTTATTGTAAATGTGCTACCAAACCTACTATAAAGCATCTCAACTTTAGACTGTTTAGAAAAAAAGGTAAGCTTGCATATTGGGATTTGGACTACATTTGCATATTTTCTTCTGTGGTGCAAAACATAAATGGTAACATTTATATTCTGCCTTCTAAACCCCCCCCGATTGTCTTTCATGGTCAGGCTCTAGGGCTGTTGCACTGTTCTGGCATTTTTACATAATTGCTAACACTTTGCCTGCGTGTTTCAGCATAGTCTGGCTACATACTGGATCAGGGCCTGCAAGATGGGCTTGATTTAAAACTAGTCTATGCACACTGGACAAAAGACCTGAATGAAATGCTCCAGGGTCCCTTTTTTAGAACAACTTAATTTAATCACAGGAATTTGCAGAAGTGAAATCTGCTAGGGTTGAAGGGGTAAAGTATAAAGGGTTTTTTAATTTGTTCTGCATTAAGGTAAAAAAAAGAAATCTGTTCTCTCAACACTTAACTTGACGCCTGTATCAATCCAGCACTGTGCCCAGCTGCAGGTCTTCTCTCCCTCTTCCTGGTCTCAGTCTTGACTGGGAACAAGAGCCATTGGCTCCTGTTGTAGTCACACCCAGTGAACGGGGATGGGGCCTGAGCCCAATTGTCTATAGATGCACACAGCCCAGCTCAGGAGCAGGCCTGCACTTCTGCCACCATAGCTTGCTATAGGGGCATACACAGAAGAGGAGCCCAGAGTGCTGGTGTACCCCAGAAGAGGTTTGGGGCTGCTCTACAATTCCATAGAACAGAGCAGGTAAGTATAAACACTTTACAACCCCTTTTTTAACCATTATTGCTGTGGTGAGAAATTACTTTCTATGCTGTCAAACATGCTGCAAGCTCTGAACTGCTGTTAAATAAAAAAACCCCCACCACAAACTTTATTTTTTTGTAGAATACAGTAGCATTTCAATTTCCACTTTAATCTAAAATGCCTTTTTTAGTTCAGACTGGCTTGAGCTTACAAACTCTTTATTCCATAGATGTCTTGCTGAGTTCATCTAGGGAATCTTTAATAATCAATGTAACAGCCTGTTACTGTAACTGTATATTGGCAGGATGATCTGCTGTGCCAGTGTCTAAACATAGCTCTGCTACTCCACTAGGCAGGAAAGTGGAGGTCATGGAATGTTAATTGAATGAACAGCGCCACTCTTGTTGGAATAGCACAGATTGACTGTACATGCTGAAAACTCTCTATCCTTGGACTACAGGAAGGCTTTAAGGTCTCATGGCCTCTTGGATAGTAACACCAGAGTGGTGTCTGAAATCTCAATGGCATTAACACCATCCACAGTTTCCTCTAGTAGGAATATTTTAAGGTATTTCAGTAAATCAAAAGCACTAGAGATGCAAGTTTAATCAAACTGGCATTGCGGCCACACTAGCCTGCAGTTTACCATACAGTTGAATGGATTATATAGCCTTGCAGATGCTTAACACCTCACTGCCTGTGCAAATTGTCAGCTCTTTACTATTTTGGGTATGGTTGCATGTAGCTTTACACAACACCTCCATAGCCTGGGTATTGAGGAACCCTCTTACATTTTTTTTTTTTTTTTTTTTTTTTTTCTCATATGGCAGGGAAAAGTTATTCCTAGCAATCTTTAAAACGTTAAAGCGGAGTTCTGCCCCACCCACCCAAAAAATGCAGTCAACCGATACAAATACTGTAGCTGCTGATGTTTAATATTAGGGCACTTGCCTATCCACAGATCCAGCATTGTCCTCACCCCAAGCTGATTCTTCAATTGGCTGCTGGCGCCACCATCTTGACTAAGGCAAACAGTAGAGAAGCCTTGCAGATTCACCACCAGTTCCCTACTGTGCATGTGCAAAGCATGCTGCACTTTGTGAATGGGCTGTAGTTCTCTGGGACCTGTGATGTCCCAGAGGGCTGTGGTGTGGGGGGGTGATCTTCCAGCTCTGTTCAGAGCTGGTATTGGGTATCTGCCAACCAGGTACCTGCTATATAGGTGGGCCCTTTACATTAGTCTTTCTAAATCTTAAGAGGTTTAGGATTTTTAAAATTTACTTGCCTAGGTGGATGCAGCATCGATCTGATGTTGCATCTGTCCCCTGCCAGCTCAAAAGATGAGAACTGAGCTATCAGACACAGCTGATCACTTAGTCCTGGTTCTGTACAAGTGGGCTGGAGAGCAAAGAGCTAGAGACTGACAGCTCTCCTGCTAACAACCTTTGGCTGTACTTCTTTTAAGAATGTGTAATATGTTTGCAAATGGCTAGATAAGGCTTGTTACAAAGCATACATGCAAGATTTAATGGTTGTTACGCCACTATTCTTTGTAGAACCACCTGTGTACCCCCAAGCCCAATGGCCTTACAGGATTGGTCAAGACAATAAAACCAAAAAAGATTACTCCTGCGCTCCGGGACCCAGGCCAGTGGCGAGTAGATGGAATTAAAACCTCCAGAGAAGCAACCACCGGAGTATCCAAGGTCGTGCAGCTCCAAACCAAGGCTGGGGGAGCCCGAACAAACTGCAAAGTAAAACAACAAGAAGCGCACCAACCTTGTGCATTACCTCCGTAACAAAAATGTATTAAATGAAGGAAAGGTACTCACAAACAGCAAATAAAAATAGGCATGTAAGTCCACCAAGGGACTTCAAAGGTACGAGGCCAGCGCGAATCCCATCATGGGTATAGGTACTCAGTCCAGCTGACGGTTTCGAAGGTCATGCCTGAGGAAGAAGGAATGACCTTCGAAACGCGCGTCAGCTGGACTGAGTACCTATACCCATGATGGGATTCGCGCTGGCCTCGTACCTTTGAAGTCCCTTGGTGGACTTGCATGCCTATTTTTATTCGCTGTTTGTGAGTACCTTTCCTTCATTTAATAAATTTTTTACTTACTGAGGTAATGCACAAGGTTGGTGCGCTTCTTGTTTTACTTTGCAGCTTACAGGATTGGTGTCTGCTTTGTCCAATCTGGTAGGCCCTGTAATTGTCCATGCTGGAGGTTCTGTTCATTCTATAAAGGCATATACTTGGCAGCAAATGGGAGAGAATGATGTTGGTAAAAGATGGTTGCTTCTAAGAGGAATAGTACTTTAGTGTTCAGATTGGCAGATGTTTGACATTAAGAAAATAAGTACTCTTCCCTAGTTAGACATGACCTTGTCTCCTTTTTTTTTTTTTTTTTTTTTTTTTTCCCCAGCTCTGGAGCTTTTGAAAACCGCTATCAACAAAGCTGGATACCCAGAGAAGATTGTGATTGGAATGGATGTTGCTGCATCTGAGTTCTACCGTGATGGAAAGTATGACCTGGACTTCAAATCACCAGATGACCCTTCCAGATGCATCTCACCTGACAAGCTAGCTGATGTATACAAAGACTTCATTAAAAAATTATCCAGGTAATGCGAGTTTCAAAAATGGGTGTAGATGACTATTTCTGTTGTGACAGGATTTAAAAAGTGACTTTATCTGGATCAACTTTTCTTCCCCAGTTGTGTCAATTGAAGATCCATTTGATCAGGATGACTGGGAGGCATGGTCAAAGTTCACAAATGATGTTAAAATCCAGGTTGTTGGTGATGACTTGACTGTGACGAACCCTAAGAGAATTGAGCAAGCTGTGGCAAAGAAGGCCTGCAACTGCCTTCTTCTGAAGGTTAACCAGATTGGCACAGTCACAGAATCTCTACAAGCGTAAGTAGTGCACACTTGAATTGACAAAGTATTTTACTGAAGGTGTTCTCTAGGAAAGATGTAACCTTTTTAACCCTTACACAAAATGGAGATTGTGAAAAGTCCTGACATTTTGATATTGGTTTACTCTGCTCATCCCATGTCTTAAGTCTTGAAGGTTTTATGGTATTTATTAAATTTTTTTACACAAATCTAATTTTACAAACTACATTTTTGGCTTATTTTTTTGTCAGGCCAAATGTGCAATTAGGGATGTGTAAAATGAATTTGGTCAGTAGCAAAAGGATAAAATCTTGTCTTGTTGGCTGAATTTTGGGTTGGTCTCCTTTCTTTAAAATATTGATGTAGATGGGATGCTCTTTGGTGCTAACCAGAATAAGTCATATCAAAGAGAATTTACAATGGAAAAAGGATGCATCCAGTTTGCTCATTTGGGAGTTTTGATTTATTTTCACACAATTTTACTTCTGAAGCTCTAATTTTCAATTTTTCTTACACAGATGCAAACTGGCCCAGACTAATGGCTGGGGAGTGATGGTCAGCCATCGATCAGGAGAGACAGAAGATACTTTCATTGCTGATCTGGTGGTTGGGCTTTGTACCGGACAGGTAAATCATTTTGGTTGTCTTCACATTATCTTGTGCTTTTTATATATGCATTGTTTATGGGGGTTTTTTTTTTCCACTTATAGATCAAGACTGGTGCCCCCTGTAGATCTGAGAGACTTGCAAAGTACAACCAGATTCTCAGGTATGGTACTACCCAGTAGAATGCAAGTTTTTTTTATTGCATGGCCTTTGTTTTTGCAACAGTTAAGTACAAGGAATTTGGGTCAATTGTAAGGCACTACAACAGAGCAAGTCCATCAGGGTCTTCTGATTAGGCTAGCATAGAGCATAATCTAAGTTTTTGGTTCAGGGTTTTGTAATGCGTTTAAAATCCTCTTATCTAAGCAGAGACCCTTGTGTACAAGTTGTTACACATGTCTTTATAATTAATGTATTTGCTTAAGGGGCTACCTTCAGACTCAAGCCATTTTTAGGCTATGTTCTTAAAGTGTTACTAAACCCACAACAGTAAATCAGTCTCCTATATGTAATAAATCATGCTTGTTATACTTGCTGTGGAACCTAATGGGTTATTACTTTGTGTAAAAAGGCTGATGCTGTCTTCTGATGATCCTCCCCATCTGCTGGTAGTCCTAGGAGACACTGCATATGCTGTGTATTGATAGTTTTTGGGAGGGTGCATGTGATCACCACAGGGCCAGTTGGCCCTATCCAGAGGGTCAGGGGTCATACAGCCTCATAATTCAGTCAGGGGAGAATGAAAAAAGTTTGTGTTTTTTTTTACTAGTGCTTGGCTGGACACTAAGTCATGAGTGCTATGCACTGCTGAGAGTATTTATCAGTTTATACTAAAATTTCATTTCCATGTTGTGTACTGTGGAAGACTGGATATAGTGAATGCAGGGTCCTGGTTCAGTAACACTTTAAAAGCATTAACAGGCTTGTGTTGAGCCTTGCTCACCCTGTAAAATGGCTAATTAACTAGAGGGAAAACTGCTAAACCTGCTTACATACTTGTTCAAAAAAGGTAACATGAATTCTGATAACCAGTGTATGTGTGGCTTTTTTTTTTTTTCTATCTTGGATAGAGTATGGTAAGGTTAATCCATGGTTGGGGCTATTTTAGTTTAGTTTCCTAACCTTGACAAATGGGATGAGATTGCTGTCAGTGAGGTGGAAAGTCTACAGTGTTGCAACTGTAGATTATGTAATGCAAATCCTAAAAAGAAATCTGTTTTTCATATGGTAATGACTGAGCAATTCTACTCTTCCTTCTTAGGATTGAAGAGGAGCTTGGAGCCAAGGCACGTTTTGCTGGTAGAAACTTCAGGAAGCCAGTCTGCAACTAAGCAATTACTCACAGAGCACTTATCCATCTTTATGTAGTCACCATAAACCTAGTCTGCAGGCAATGGCCTAAGTCTCGCTGCTGTAGAGGCTTGACTTGCAATGCAGGCCCCTCCAACAGTGATCAAGGTGTCCTAGGCCTAATCACAACCCTGCAGTTTCTGACTTTCCAGTCCCAGAAGCTTTGCTGCTTAATAGGATGATTCCTTGTCTCACTTGGTGTGCCTGCATGTTTGTTCCTCTTTTCTATTGTGGTGTGGTCCTGAACACTTCAACCTTGTCCATTCGTACATTATCATAATGTCTTGCAGTCCTGTTGGAAGGCTAGCTAACGGTTTATGTGCAGAGTCAAGATGTAGTTTTATGAAGCGGTAAATAAACTCTAAGATGATACATGTGTGTTATTTCTTGTCCATAGAAATATAACTCTAGCCAGATTGTTTAATAGGCTGTTGAAATGGTGCTCTACTTGCCAGACTATAATGGTTCAGCTACAAATGGTTCTACAAAGTCTGGTCATACTACATATGGAGGATTGACTCTTCTGATCTGAAGCTTCTCACCTCTACAGCTTACTTATTGAGCTGTGACTGATTGAAATGGGTTCATCTAGTACCACCCTTCCCAGCAATGCATGCTTGCTTTTCTTTTGCTACCACAGCTATGTTAACTGCCAGGAGTGAGAAGCCTGAGCTCAGCTGCTGTATTTAGAGCTTACACCAGGGTAAGGATGGCTCTTGAGCATGAACTGCTTTCATTTTCAATCTTGCCTCAGTTTTACTGTTCATGTTTAAACCCTGTACAACTGTGTTTGGGGTTTTTTGTTTTGTTTTTTTCCCTCCATCAGAAGAGACCCAACACCTTTTAACCTTTTCAGTAAGTTTTATAGAGACCAATAGTGTGACATCATTGGGCTTTTAGAATTCTTTGGCTTGCATGGCTAAAGCAAATAACATATTTTTGACATTAAGACCTGGTTCACACTGAATGTAACTTCAAAGGTGCAAATCGGTGCAGTTTGTACCTCCCAGTTTCACTGCTGCTTGCAACTTCAAGTTCTGATAAAATCAGGGGGGGGGAAAAAAGTACTGCAGCAACCATCTTTGAAATTGCACAGATTGATAATGCTATAGCAATACATTTAGATGCAACTTCAGGTATGGCTGGTCTACTGAATGTGGTTGTCAGTGTCTTACACCCTGGTCACACAAAACTCTGCTTTGAAATCATGCAACTTTACAGTGAAGTCCACATTTTCAAAGTTGGATGACATGCCAATTTCAGGTGCGACTTGCAAGACCGCTGACCACAGATCTATGCAAATCACACCAAAAGTAGTGCCTGTACTATTAGAAATTGGTGCAGATCTGACCAAATCAGTGCTGCATCAATATTACTGCTATAATTGCAGACAATAGTGTGCAACATGGCATACCAATTGTCATCCAGGGGTGACTGGGTTGTAACGTATGCTTTGCTGCAGTGTTTTCTAAAGTAGTTCTTGTATTACTTTTTTCTGCAGTTTTGTTATGATGTCACCTTGAATATAATGGAACTTGCACTATCCATTGCAAGATATCATTGAATCTCTACAAGTAACAAAGTCTTCAGTCATTACACACAGATAATCTGATGTTTAAATTGCAGCAGTGTGACTGGAGGGTACAAAAATAAATACACAATACCTGTTACTCAAAGTTATTATCCTTACTTGGCTATTTGGAGTGTTCCAATAGAAAATTAATGCCACTACAACCAAAAAACCTCAAAACAATTCTCCATTGGTGCTTTCAATGAACCTTCTACTTAATATTTGTCACTTTAAATACTATATCATGTCTTTCAATTTTGCCTTTTCCAAAGCAAAATAAATACTATTAATACTTCATGCATACACAGCACAAGACGCTCAGCTGAATTTGTGGGTTTATAGTGGAAAGCAATAGGGCAAATGTGCTTCCTATTTCCAGGGCTTCACCACTAGCTCCTGAATGGTTACCAATAGGTCTTCTCTCTGCTTGCTGCTCAAACTGTAAAGCACTATCCTATTGCTTTAACAAACTTTACCTTTATTAAAAAGCTTAATCTATAGTCACAAGATAGGTGCCAGCAGCAGCCCACCACTTACTTCAATAACTGGGTCCAGTGTCCCCCTTATGAGTAAACATGGTAGCACCTGTTTCCAGCAAGGCCCTGGCCTAATCTATTTTATCATGCCTGTGACTATCAAAGGGTGCAGGCTGCCTGTGTCCAGGGCCAATCACTTGCATGTGAGATTGCTGCATCAGTTATTACAAATAAGTAGGTGCAATTGTCTTTGGGAGTCAGCAGCCTCCCTTTGCATTTGATGGGGCTGCCTCTTACAGCTAATTGCAGGATGTGTGTTCCCCACCCACTGGGGTTTTCACATCTAATTGCTGAGTGGGTGCATTCACACATGTCAATGCACCCTTAAAGTCACATTGCTGCCAGAACATGCCTGTGTACATTTGTCTCTGGCCAGGCCACCCTTCACACCCTATGACTGTCACCTGGTATGTAATCTGCCTCTGGAAGAGGCAGTTTTATGCCTTCATGTCAAAGGCTCCAGCAAAGAGAACAGTGAGTACAGTACACAAATCTTACACCTATTCTCTTAAGGCTTGCCATATACAATATAATCCTGAGTGTACAGTCACCTTTAAGTCTTCCATGAACAATGTAGTGCAAGAATCTGAGATTTGATAGTTGAAGGGATTGTTTAGATTTGTCTTCCTATTACATTATTTTGGTACATTGGAGATTTTGAGCAAAATCTGTAATCAGATTATATAGAATATAGCTAACGAGTAGTTGGGGCAGCAAAGATCTCACATGGCAGCTGTGCAGTTATGAGGCTGTAGGCATAGGGGTGACGATCGCAGCGTCAGACACCAGCCCTTCTCACCAAACTCGTGACCGAAGGACTAGCCAATCTAAAACCGTGCTGTCACGTGTGTAACAATTCCACGCCCGGCTGTACCCTGCACAAAGAGTTTCCAGCTAATGGACCACAATCTGTGTACTTGCAGCCTGGGAGTGATTTGTTACTGGGTCAGGTTAATTACGCAATTAACCCTTCACACTGCCACCACCTCCTTTTTGTACAGAGAAAGAGGAAACTAAGCAATATCGGCAATAACACTATGATATTTGCATAAGCTTCAGTATACCACTGTCACTGCAGGCAGTGATATAACGAAGTTTTAAACACACAGTAGCGCTCTTCAGAGGCAGGGGTTTTTAGTTTGCATTAAAGAGCTTTAGAAACAGTTCAACACTTTCAGAAAGTAAGATCTATTACTAAAAGTTCAAAAGGGTGCAATAAAAATATTTACAGAAAAGATGTAGCCTATATATATATATATATATATATATATATATATATATATAGAGAGAGAGAGAGAGCGAGCGAGCAATAACACAGCAAAGAGAGAAAAAACAGAAAGGAATGTAGATAGATAAAGTACTTGCCAAAAGCCTTGGGTTAAGCAGCTTTCATGTTTCAGAGCAAAAGGGCCATCTCCCAGAGTTGGTTCTGATGTTACAAGGGAGAATCTTCAAATCAACTCAGCCTAGCTTAGCTTTCTGCTCCAAGCATAACAGCTTTTCTAGCAACTCAGCAGGGTGTCTCCTTGAAGCAGAGAGACCAATTGCCTCATTTGGGGGGAGTTGTGGGTAGAGGCCCCAGCTAGGACCAAAATGCATGACCCATAACTTGCCTTCGGTATTTAGCAGCCTTGTCACTTTTTAATATGCAGGCGCATCTGCTGAACGTCTACATACCTGCATGACTGTTAAGGAGATATCATTTTCTGCTCTCCTGCATATGTCAGCTAGGGGATGTAACTTGATTTGTATTAAAGTGAGCGGTCTCAATATATGCCTGGTTTTTATGTAAGTCTCTCAAATTCCAAGTATGTAATCATAGGGGAAAAATGGGTCTTGAAATGTCATGGCGGAATGTTTTGCAGTGTTGATTTATGGCTTTACAATCTGCAGAAGATCAGGCAAGGGTTTATAGTGACTCCCCTGCTGCGCCTTGTAATGCAGGACCAGTTGCATGGGGAAGCGATGGGAGTAGAAAATGATAGAAGATGGAGGCTGCTTTCCTGCAGTTGCTATATTCTTCTAGCCAGCTAGAATCTAGGCATGTGAAAGGGGAACTGCATAAGTAAGGGTGCAGTGTAATGTCACCCCATTCATTTTGCACACATGGTAGAAGTGCATGCACTTTTGGAAACGCACAGCAACCAGATTGGGTTCTTTATGCCATGATCCAGTGCAGGCAAATGGGGTTTTGCAGTGTCGAGAAGATCACAAGGGTGAAGTAATGCAGGAAGTTGCGCTGGCTGCTTTCCTGCAGTAATTCTAGCCACTGAATCATTTGTAAGTAAGGGAGAATGTCAAAACTTTTGGATGAAGGGGTCCTGCGAGACTTGAAAACGTTGGCTGAACTATGTGATCATTTATTAAAACTTTTGGACCCATATTGGTGATCCTCAGTGTGCTGCTCCCTGTCTGATTCTGTTCGGTTTCAGCCAACGGTCGCTGCAACACACGTGTGCATTTGGATTGTACACTTGCATTCAGGGCCGTAAGTAAGACCTATGAAAGTCGTAATAATTCATACCTGCTGGTTAAAAACCATGGAGATGTTATTCTGACAACACAGTTACTAGTACATGCTGCAAAAAGCACTGCCAGGATACAAAAGAACTGGTACCATAGAGTGAAAATGCAGTCACAACATACAGTGGAAAGAAAAAAGTCTACACACCCTTGTGGGACATTTAAAAAAAAAAATAATAATATCACACCAAGATAACCTCCTTAATTTTTTTTTTTTACCCACCTTTTCTGCCTATTCACACCACAATGCAGTGCGCGAAACCCATGTTCTGTGCATCAAAATGCACCGCAGTTGCGGTCTGCAGCAGTTATCAATGTTAAGTTAATGAAACCCCAAATACAGGTCACAAAT